GGGGGGGGGGGGGGAGGGTTAAATGAATGGGAATTAAAATGGGCTTTCCCAACAAGTTGCCGAGCCGACGTGGCGGAGAACGGTTCGATTCGTGGTTGCTCTCGTGTTATGCAATAAAAAGTGGCAAGCTCGCTGTACTCCTCGCTGTCGAATTCAAGGCACGATCGTCTCAGAACATTATTTCAACCGTGGTCAGCCGGTGCTCGGCGATATGCTGTGTGAGTGGATATCATTTTTTTCCGCACGCGCGCAAGCTCGATGGAGGGTCTCGCGCGGTACACGCTCGACGTCACCTGACACACGCGCCGCGAATAAAAGAGCGAAGCAAGAATTCTTTCTCAACGAGAGCGTCGATTGACGCGGTTCATTGCGTGCGAAATACGCGATAGAAAACAAGATCGGGTTGTTTTCTCGCCACCTTCGTAAAGCTCTTTTCGTCCCAAGCGAAGATTTATCCGGCATTTACGACGCTTACTCGCCGACGACACTGTGGCCATCGACTTCTCCCCCTCTCTCTCTCACTCTCTCTCTTTCTGTCGTGTTTCTCAGCGCGAGCTACCGAACATATCCGCGACGTGCGTCTCACTGAAGTTCGATGAGAGCGAATCATGAGCGGAGTCGATGCGCGATAGCGAGCAACGTGATGTTGCGGAGAGATAATACGCGAGGCTTCCGTTGTCTCTCGCACGTTAGGATGAATCGCTGCGGTTCGTCCGTCCGTTACGACGTAAACAACGCTAATTTCCTGCAGTAGTTCGATACGCCGTCACAACTCCGATATCTGCCTCTCCTCGTCGCAGGCGTAATTAAATTCAATATTTTACCGAGTGCGGCTACAATTATGGCTTCTATCAATTATCCCCCGCCAGATAGCTGCAACATCGTTCCTTCTAACGTGATGTTCCTTCTTTTGTTAGAAAGAGATGGATAAATAGAGAGGGGAACAAAGTGAGAGAGAGAGAGAGAGAGAAATGTCCGCGTTTAATCATGGCGAAATTATAGAGACACGATTGAAAATTAAACGTTAACGCGTCGTGTTAATCGCACGGAATTATATTAGTGCAAGCTGATATGCGTAACGTTAGAATGTCTAATTCTGGTTGATCACATAGCTCCGACCGAGCTACTAAATACCAAAATTACACGGCTAATTGACAAGATCGTGTTTCAATGATATTGAATGAGGTACGCGGACCTGCTCCGTCGACCATTGCTACTTACTCATTACAGGATGCTGCTCGCGGCCTCGCAACGAGAGGCAGTTTCCATCCCAATTTTCCTTTCGCTCGGTCACCCCCGCCCGGCAATATCGCTAACGAATTTAATCCGGATGCGAGATTAATTCTCCATGCGAAAATCCGCTTCACCGTTGGCTCGCGCTTTCGGCAAAATGTACGGCGTTTATTGCTCGGGTTCTCGTGAGAGAGGAAGAGCGAGAGAGCCAGAACGCTTTCTTGCCACGAGGGCGAAAAGCGTGCAGCCTCTTTCTCTAATCGCCCCGCTGAGAGCATTTTTCGCGAAATGAGAATCAATCTCGGAGTGGTCGAAGAATTTTTGCGAAGTAAAATCCGTCTCGAGGAGCGTCCGCGACACAGCCCTCTCTCCCCGTGCCGGGCATACAGCTGCTGTGAACGAAGAGACAGGTTGCGGTAGGGAACCGGTGGTTAGAAGAACTATAAGAAGAAGTAGAAGTGGAAGAAGAGGGTTGTGCGCGCGTGCGGCAGCCCGTCGAAATAGCAGTTTAGCACTGATAACACTTGGCAGACTTTTATCGATCATGTCTGGCAACAGATGGCTCACCCAATTCCAGGCACCGCGTTTTGTCTGGCCGGCTGATAAACGATAACTAATACGAGACAGGAGTACCGGGGGGCGAAAGCGGGACGACGGCGAGCAAGAAGAGAGATAACGGCGGGACGGAGGTAGCGTTAGATATTGTTTCACAGTCTTTTAATCGGCGACCTGACGCTCCGACGATCTCCAGCCATTGTTGCCCGGCGCTTTTTCGATCACACTCGACTCATGCTTCTCGATTAACCCGCACGTCGTTATGGTCGTTACATTATTAATTACACGCCTTTTGGATGGTTTCGTCAGATCAACAAAATTAACTCGAAAATACCGTCATGAGAAAGGAAGACCCGGAATAATTTCGGTCGATTGACGCGGACGATTCATTCTTTAACCCTTTTAGTGCCGAGCAGAAGTACCTATGCGAAGAATACCGAGCCAATTTGACGAGTTTGCTAAGGTTTGGGAAAAAGCTCATAGAAACCAAACTAAAAATGATATTGACAAAATTCAAAAAGCAGCATATCACGAAATAAAGAAAGAATAAAGTAATGCCAATTGTATTTCAATATTTGTTGAAAATCATACGAATAACATCAATATAAAATATGATGAAAAACATAGAAACAAGTTTCTCTTCTACAAACAATATTTGCACATAAGAATAATCATCGTTTGATCACAGTTTTATGTAGATCACGTAGTATGAAGTATAAGTATTACATTTTCAATGATTTTTAACAAAATAACTAATATCGGACCTGAGAACGAAACTGTCCCGTGTCGAGTTTCTACCTTATCGCTCCAGTGTGTATAGAGCCTCGGCACCAACCAGCATAGAATATAACAAAAAGTTAAACCCAAAAACAATTTTTAAAATTCTTTTGCAATGAAATTAGACCGTTTATAACGTTTCATAAATTTATTTTGAGATAGAGCTTTCTCGCAATGCGAATAGTAAGACGCCCTCGGATACGCGACGATATATCGTCGTTGGCACTTTTCGCAAGTGTTGCGAACGACGATATATCGTCGTTCGGCACTAAAAGGGTTAAGATAATCGGCTTGCGACAATAACGTCGAAAATTCGTTTAGTCACACGACAGAAAGAATACGTTGAATAACTTTTAGGTGAAATAAATAACGATATATATTTTAAAATGCGTGATACTAACGTTTTATTCACAAAAGATACGAGAGAAGGTGCAGTTATATACGTGTGTAAAATAATCGTAGTGAATTACACGAGTGCAAATTTTCGGTTCGGGTTATCTTCACTATACATCTATACACGTACAAGAATAATTATTCCGAGTTATTTATATAGATACATGTTTATTAAGGTCTGTTCCTTTATATAATTTATTTGTATCATAGTGTCGCCTTTCTTTCCTTTTTCGTACCTAGAGAGAATTTCTAAATTATGGACTTCTTATAATTATCTTATAATTTTAAAGACTAAATAATTCAATAGTTGTATTTTTTTGCATGTCTATATATTGATCGAAAATGCCACGGTAATTTAGTATTAAAATTCTTAAATGTGGTTTGGAAGTTGGAATTAAAAATAGGGCGATATCGTCAATATGAGAAAATATATATTAAAAACGTCAATGTCATTTATACATATACATAATAGAAAATTTAAATTTAACGTATTTTACACGTTCCAAACGGTCTACCAAAATTA